GAGGACCTCCCCGAGTAAATCCGGACTCCTCTCGGACGCGGATAGAGGTCCCTCGCGGGGAAAGAACGCGCCCAAGACGAAGGGCAGAGGGGGTGAAGAGGGTGGCGCGGAGTCGAGGGACGGAGGGCGCCCGGGAGAGAGAGAGAGAGTGAGCCAAGCGCCACTAATTAGTGCCAAGAACGTAATTAAGTAATTTTTAATTAAGTGACTGCCGTTTACGCGCACAACCACTGCGCGGCGGCGAGGGTGAGCGGGGGGGTGGGTCGGGGGAGAGGGAGGGGGCGGACTCGCGAGGTCTACGCAGGGTGCGTCATTCGCGACCGCGACTCCGGGCGTCCTCGGCGCTTTCCTGACCTCCGCCCCCGCTGCGCGTCTTTTCTCGAGTCTCGAGTGAAGACTCGAGTCCTGCCTCTCGAGAGGGAGAGTTCTCGACCGTCCTCGAGGGCCTCGCCGGGAGAAGGCCGCGAGAGGTCGCCCTGGCCCCTTCTGGTTCCCTTAAGGTCAACCCGGTCCTCGAGCTAATTATCTCGCGACCGAGTTCCTCTCGCCCCTCGAGGAGTCCCGGGGGCCGTCGTTTACCGTCCCTCGCCGCGGATTCCCCTCGCGGGATTCTTCGAATGCGTTCCGCAGAGGACGCGGGATCCCGAGATGCGGCACCCTGATCGACGCCGGAAGATCGCGGAGGACTACCTTATGACCAGGTCGGTACTGCAAGTACCTAGTCCAAGAGTTGCCGCTCCATTGTGCCGCGCGGAGAGTTTTTAATTAAGGAGCGAATTTCTGGAGATTCGGCCAGGGGGGCCGGGGTCGCGTGGAGGGGCACTCCGTCTTTTGTGGAGATCGAGGGCCCGCGGTTCCGCGCGTCTTGGTCTCCTCGTCTTCGGGGCGGTACCGCCGCGGTCAAAGAGCGAAGTTCCTTCTTTTCATCAGGGTCCCGCCGCGGAGATGCGCGGCCGGCATCTCGTTCCGCCCCTCGGCGGCCGCGCGGCCACCTCGCGGCGGGCCGGCGGCGCCGCGGACCTCTCAAAGCTTTTGTCTCAAAGGGCTCGTTCTCGAGAGGGGGAGAGGCGCCCCTCTTTCTTTCGGCTCCCCGGCGGACAAGCCGCGTCCGAGCGACCGCGCGGAACCGCGGCGGATAATTGGCCGCGCCGTCTTCCGCGTCGGTCCCGCGACCGAGGAGCCGCTTCCGGGGCCGCCACGCGTGCGCCGCGTATCATCGGAATCCGGGGGACTGCGGAGGGAAAGCAATTACGAGGCTTCCGGTTACGACGCTTCCGGCTCCCGCGACGGAAACTCACGTGCTCGCGGAACGACGTCGAACGAGTAAGTGGCCGCGGCGGGGGGGCCGCGCTAATCTCCATTTTTAATCAGCTCCGGTTTCGGGGGATCCGCGGAGAACCGACTCTTCGACGATTCCGGATGCGGAGGAGGAAACTCGGGCGCGGTCGATCGCGGTCGATTCCGCGATCCTCGCCGTCCGAGCGGCGTCGCGACGGCTTACCTCGGGCTCGAATTTCCTCCTCGGCCCCGTCGAGCCACCTCCCCCTCGAGCTGGCAGCTTATTCCTCGCAATAAGAGAGAACCGGCACTCTCCGGCGGCATGTGTGCACACAAGGGCGGGACGCGGAGGGGCCGCTGCGGAGAGGGCCGCGGAAGGAGAGCGGGAGGCACGCGTGACGCCGGTGCGCCTCGGCGCCGCGTCGTCTAGCCTTTTCGCTAAATGGCCCTCGCCCGTCGTTACGCCGAGCACACAATCTTGTGGGATTAAAAAACACACCGCTCCAGGAGAACGCCAGCCCAGGGGTCGGGCCCGTGTGTGGAGATTGCCTCTCGGCCCGTTTGTAGTCAAGATTTCGGTAAACCGGCGCCAGCTCGCGCTCTAATTGGACGCGTTTCCTTTAGCGTCGACGACGTCGTCGCCGTCGCCGGCCCGAGGGGCCTTCGGCGTCCTCCGTCCTCGGCGCGGCTCCTCGGGACCGCTTTCGAGTCCACCCGGGCGGAACCGTCCGCAATTTTCAGGGAGTCCAAGGATTTCGGGGGAGTTCCCCCCACTCGGGATCGACGCTTTCCGTTTTTTCTATTTAACCCCCTCGGTGCCGGCCGAAGTCGTTGGGTACTTGTAAAACGGCGGTATATCGTCGTTCGGCCCCGAAGGGGTTAAGACAGGCCAGCGAGGGAATCGGCGCGGCAGGAAAAAGGGGGCGCCTCCACCCGGAAGGGCCGCGATAAGGAACGGTCTCGGGCGCGATCGTTGATAAGGGGTGCGGAAGGAAGTTTCTCTTTAGGAAATTACCGCCCTCCGAGGGGACAGGTGAGCCCTGGGCGACGAAGGAGCCGCGAGAAGCACCCTTTCGATCCGACACCCTCCCGAGGGCCGCCTCGATCGATGGAACGACGCCCTTGCGATTGTCATGACTAGGCATGAATTTTAAACGACGGGCTTGACCGTTTCCATTAACGGGGCCCTCGAAACATTCCCTCGCCACGCTTTCCACGCCGCGTTGTAATTATTCCCCAACCTCTCCGTTCTTCGAAATCCGAAATTAAGTCGGCCGGGCTCGAAATCCCGCGATCCGACATTTCGGGTGATAAGAAAGGCGCCGATAAATTCAATGACCGCGAATCAAGTTTTAGAGACGCCTGGAGGCGTCCGCGACGCCCAAGGAATCGTTTCTTTTTTTTTTTCTCTTTCGCAACGTTCCGGCATCGTTCGTCCTTTCGTGCCGGGCGTCGTCTCGCCGAAGGTCCTCGCGAGCTTCCGTGTCGCTTGCGAGTCCGCTGTCCATTATATACGACATAAAATTCCTTCCATCCCCGAGATAGGATCTCGCCGGTCCTAGTCGCGTGTCCTGGCCGTGGGATCTGATAACGAGGTAACCCCGGTCGGCGCCTCTGTCTCTTACTCGCCGCCCCCCGACATCCCCGACGAGCCCGACAGCCCCCGACGACGACCCCAATCAGCCCCCGGCGAGTTTCATCGAACGGGGGTTGTCGATATCGTCTGCGCGACCGGGGATACCGAGCCACGTAACGTACGTATAACCGAATTCATTAATTTCCTCCGTCTGACGTTGCAGCTCGCATTCGGCCCGAAATGAGACCGACTCTCCGAGGCCTTTGATCCCGCTTTGGCCGCGCCCGCTGCATTCCGGACATCCGGATCGATCGACTTTTATCGCCGCTTCCGGTCGCCGCTCGACCAGGCCTCGATCCCGTCGTTTCGCCCCCAGGAGGTAGAGGGAGCCCCAAAATTAAGGTGAGACAAAAGTGACACTTTTCTCCAATATTAAATTTCTCCATAGATATTTTATCTTAATATTTTTGCAAAAATTCAAATAACACGGGTATCGGGACCTTCCTCGCAGTCTTCGCATTTACAATGTGAAGTTAGAAACGATTGGAGGAAAGTTTCACGATTGACGCTTGAGATGCCACTTTTCCATTTTCACGAGGATGAAAAGATCCTCGACCCAGGAGGCGCCCGGGCGAAGGAACCTCTTCTTCGAGGTGGCGGGGTGGCTTCGTGACGCCCAGGCCGCCACTTATGGCGGGGGAAGGAAGGAGGGCAGGTTCTCGTGACAAAAGTACAACGGCGTACGACACGAGGCCGGCTCGGGGGTTGGAGGTACACGGGAGCGTAGAATAATGTAGCGGTGCATTTCCGCATAGGAAGCCGCGCATTAGGCTATCAGATCGAGCACGCGCGACGGACGTCCCTGACGCCCTAACGTCCCAGGAAACCCCTACGAGGAGCTTACGCGTGATTGCTCGAAAAAAGGAAACCGGGGGCCGAGGAGAGCGACTTCGAGGGCGTAATGCACCCGGGAAGTCGTTAGGTGTCCTGGCCAGGTGGGGGGCAACCTCCCCCAGCTCGCTTTTCGGTCTACATTACCCAGTTAGCTATTTCGACCTCTTTGGAAAATGTCTCTTCATATCGAGTATACGCGTCAAAAACAGCTGATTAACGTTTAACGAAGACGTTCCCCCCTCGCTCCGCATTGATCAAAAGTGAAGATGGCGAAACGCTGAGGCAATTAAAATGGTAAAACGTTAAAATGGCCCTCCGAGGTTCGTTAACGTTGTTCGACTGGTATCGATGACGTTTAACTAACGTCATTTAAGTAAGGGCGGTAGGGGAGGATGTTCGAAAAGGACGAGCAGGGTGCCTTTCGCCGCCGAGAAGTGCACGACGAGACCCGGGGTGACGCGTGGATCAAAGGGGTTGCTTTTGACCGAAGGCAAGACCGGGGGCTCTACACGGCGACGAGCGACATTAACGAACCAAACGTCCTCGCTAATTAGCTTTGTGCTCGGTCAAGGAGCCGCGGATGCATTTTCGCTGGTCGTTTTCGACCAGAAATCGACACGGAGACTAATTAGACCTCGGGTGGTGTCCTCGTAGCGAGGCAAAGACGTTCTCGAGGATTGGTCGGAGTGATCGGGCAAGGGGAAGGTATCCCGAAGTCGGAGGTCGAGGATGCATCTTTTCTGGGATGATGAGGGACGATGGATGCAGGGGATGCACCGGGGGCAGTCGGGGGCAGTCGGGGGCTCGGTGGACAAGGGTGGGCAAGAAACGTCGCGGAAGGGGTAACGAATGGCCAAAGTGTCCAGGCCACGACACGGACCTTGGTCCGCCTTGTATCTTGGATCAGCCGGCACACTCAGCCTAATTATAATCAGGCTAATGCCCGGTGGGCAGCGGGCACATCCCGGTGGCCGGCTCCTAACTAATACCTGCGGGATCGCCGAGCGTTACTTATTCCCGCTTTTCAGGGGAATAATTAAGATTCGGACACACCCATCGTGACTCTCGTCTCCTGGGCTCTGACCGTTTCCGCGTAGGGAGTGGCAGGGAGGCTCGTTCCTCGCGGAAGCCTCCTCCTCGTTTGCATAGAACCCGGGGGTGGTCGGCACCGCCTCCTGGTTCGGGGGTGGCTTCCGCCCCCGGTCGCCGGAACACGCTTCCGCGATCTCTAAAGTATGTAAACTGGACTCACCGGAAATTGGAGAACCACTTGACCAGCTGGGCGGTGTTGTTCTTGTTGAACTTAATGTCCGGGAAGTAGACCTTGAGGATCGCCGAAGACGGGTACCGCACCCAGAAGAACATCAGCTTCGCCTTCCGCAGATGCATCGGCGTCAGCGTCGACGAGTTCACCGTGGTTAAGGAAATACTTGTTTGGGGAGGAAACCTAAATCTCGATTCGAAAAAACGACCCTCTTGGTCGCCTTTTCAAGAACTGAGGTCGGGGCGGTTCCTACCGTCCATGTCGCTAAACCTCCACTTCTGGAGGAACCCGACCATCGCTGGGGTATGTCGCAATTCCCTGGATATCTCAAACTTAATCGCGTTTTCCTTCATTTGAAATTGGATTAGAAATCGTACAAAGCTGCGGGAAGTCGCAGCGCGGACGGCGGGGGCGACAGAGGGGATCCGACGTTCCCTCAGGTTGACCTACGATTGGTCGCAGTCTCAGCGGAAGCCTTATTGCCTCCTTAACGGTAATGGGATCTCACCGTGTGGTTTCAGCGTGTTCTTGGTGGGCTGATCCGCCGTCTCCACCCTAGAGTTTCCCAAGTCGGACCTCCCTGGATTCCGCCTAGCGTTGAAATCGCCGACCGCGAGGCGTCGACCGCGAATCGCGACTTCCGAAATCCCCGTAGAAAATTTTTTACCCTCGTCCCACTTATCAAAAAAATACCCGAATCATTGTTTCGGCCCTGATTCACTCTTTTAAGTCTTCATTCGGACGAAGTTCTACTTTAGGCCTACGAAGAGAGGAAATGGAAATACCTGCCATTTTTTTACCCTAAGGATCTTAAACATGCGAAAGCATATCCGATTAGTTTCCTCGCCACAAAGGGCCGCACGAGGCGTGGGACGTTTACGGTATTATCGGGCGGAGAAAATCGGAAAAATCGTGGATTTAAGCGGCAGGAAGGAGCCGAGCGAATCGGTCGTGCAGTTTCACCCCCGGGTGCATTTTTCACGTGGGACCGACGTGCACCGCGACGTAATAAAGACCCCTCTGGCTCCCTGACTCCCTCGGCCGAGCACACTCTTTTGCTCCCCTCTTGCGATCTTCTCTCGCTACGAAGCGCGAGGGCAACTAAATATTTGGCCGCATTAAGCCGTTCAACGCGATAGACAAGGGACGCGGAGAGCACCACGGCGACCTACCCCACGGAAAAGTTGCGCCATTGATTTCACATCAAAGGCCGCCAAAGAGGCCGCAAAAAAAAAATAAAGAACCAGCCGCTCGAGCCGGACCACAGGGATGCACGACCGGTGCAACGTGCTCTCATCTATGCCAGCCGATTCATCGAGGTGGATGGACCAATCTTCGTCCCTCTCCTCGAGACTCGGCCCTCGAATCGCCAGGGTTCGTCCCAGGGCGAGGAAAATCGGCGATCGATCCGTCGACCGAGAACGACTTCAGCGCGGCTTCGACGATGGGGACCGACTCGAGCGCTCCTCCATTCTAGGTGTTTCCACCCAGGTCTAGGGGCCCCGGCTTGATCGGTTATATTGAGAGCAACTATGTGGAAAAGTATGCGTGGCAATAGACCGGAGAGAGACAATCAGCTGTAATCGCGATCGAGGGTCGCGACATTGCGAGCGCCTGATAGGCTATGGGACTCGATTCGAGGCTGGGGGCTGCGAGAGAGGGGCATTCCGAAGGGGTTAATTCTGGAAGACGCGAGAAAGGGGGCTCTCGAGTTCTTCCGGCGAACACGGTAGAGTCGAATGGACGTCGCGGAAGGGCGTTTCGCCCGGTTTGGGGGGGTTAGAAATCCCGCGGACCACTGACCGAGAGGCGGAAAAGCGAGCTGGAGGAGTTCCGAAGAGAACCGGAGGAGAGAAGGCGAATGGGTGGACCCGAAGAAGAGGAGAGCGAATCTAGTCATTAAGGTCCCGGATCGCGAGATTTCTCCGCGACTGCGGCCTCTCCGCAAGTCGGAGTTACGAGGTCGCTTCGAGGCCCCGCAAAGAACTTTCGGCGGCCATTGTTGCCGGAGGAACTACTCGTAGGTGAACGGCCGGCATTAGCCTAACTCGCGGCAAACTAATCTAACATTCGTCGGCCCCCGCATCCACCGCGTCGTGTATCTCCCGTAGACTTTTTCGTCGGTCTTTCCATTCGGCGGAACAAAAAGAGGAAGGACGGCCGCGAAGTTCCGAACTCCTTCACTCTTCCGCGGAACGCTTCTCTAAGCTTCATTGTGTCTGGTCCCTGAGCTCTCTTGGTCGGCACTCGTGTCTCTTTCGACCAGGACGAGCTACCCTCGATTCCTCCGATCCACCTCGATTCTCCTATCTCCGAACTCCAGAAATACGTATTTCCGTGAAGAAGTAAACCGACTCCCACCGAGATCCCCCTCAAGGTCCGATTCTTTTACTCTCCCCCCGTGAGAAAAAATATATATCTTTGCCCGAATAATGTATAATTGCAAGAAAGAATTATCTCGCCGATAGGAGTGATATCGTTGATTTAAATGAATTTTCTTTACTCTTCTTTTCTCGGCGCCCCGGTCGGCAATTATCGGACGTAGCATTAGAAAAGGATATTGTAGGCTGGATCCCGTCGTAGGTGATGTCGGCGGAGTTGCACTCGCTGTTGCGGTCGTTGCTGTCCATCCTGAGGTGGCCGTAGTCGGGGCTGCCGTGCTGAGCCGCGGCCAGGAGCGCAGGGTGCAGCATGGAGGGTGGATGTGGCAGTGGGGGTGAGTCCCTCAGCTCGACGCTGCCCCCGGGCGGGCTGGCCGGGAGGTGGTGAGGCCCGGGAGGTGGGACCTGGCCAGGGTGTCCGGCGTGAGGGTTGAAGAAGGGCGAGTAGGGCGAGAAGACCTGGCTCTCGTGGAGGCTGGGGTTGGGTATCGCCACGCTGGTCGGCAGGGAGACCGGCAGCATCGGGGGTGGTGCGTGGTATGGTCTGGGTGGAGGTGGCGGTGGCGGGCTGTCGTTACCACCCTGGGACCCGCTGCCCTCCTGGGCCAGGATCCTGGAGACGGTCCTGGGGGTGATCCTGGTGTCCGTCACCTGGAAGCAAGGATCGTCATCCTAATCAGGACCGAGCTAGTGCCTATTCCCGTCACCGCTGGACAGGCTTCCGCGTTTGGCGCGACGACGCGTCGATCGGGAACACCCCCGGTCATCCCCCGCCAAGGGCGAGCAGGAACACCCCCCGTGGGAGCGGGAGAGAGAAACCCAAAATGCGCAAACCAGATCAGAGAAATTTGTCATGGTTTCCAATCGAGTTTTGCCCGCGAATGGAACGACGTTCCGGCTCGTTCGCCGACTAAAAGAACGTCACGCCAAAGGGAATGCGATACGAGGAGGCTTAACGAGGCATCGACGCCGCTACATCAAGGGGATATCGTTAACCCTTTCGATACGACCGACTATAGGCACCCATCATCGCGTGCTCTCTGGATCCTATGGGTAACTATAGTTTCTCATCGTAAGATGCTCGCCCTGCCGGTGAAAGTGGTCACCTAATCAAATTTTCAATTTACCTCCACAACTTTTGTCGGACTAAACTTCCAACGTTACGTCTCTCGTTACCGATTACTTTTTCTATTTTGTCTTTCTCCCCGTCATTCCGAGATAATTACGAGGGATTCTCACGGAACAGAGCAAGAGGCTATCAATTTTCATGAATTTTTTCCCATTGACTTTACGTTTCTCCAAACGAGATATAATTATCTGTCACTTCCGGCAGGGGATGTTGGCGCGCAGTGCGGCTAAGAATGTTGAAAGTAAAATATTTTCTATTTGCCCCAGCAGTCGATAAAAAAAAAATTTATAAAACGGCAAACACCTTCCTGTTAAATATGTACCGTGAGTTTCATCCTCGTTTCGAAAATGTCCCCCCTGAATTGGGTTATCATTTTTCTTTTAAATTGAAATTTGCAATTCCTCAAAATTCACAGGCAATTAGTTTATAATTTACAGGAAAGACAAGGAACTACAAATTATTTCGACCAGCTCGTAGGGTTGCCGTACATCGGAAGCGTACCGACGAAACGCACAGTCGTATCGCAAGAGTTCACGTTCCATCTTCCTCTCTCTCTATCTCCCTCGCCTGCTCCCCGGCCGTCTCTCTCCCTCCGCATTTTTCGGACTGATCGACCGGTCGGAAACGGATCTTCTCTCGGGGGCGTTCCGATCTCCCGGCCGGACATCCTGTCCAGCGTGGAACGCGCGCGCGCGCTCTCCCGGACATCTTCGGGGTGGAGGGTCTTACCTTGTGCCTCTTCTTCCTGGGAGTCATGACGAGAGAGAGGGCCTCGTTCTGTTCCGAGTCCCTGTTCTCCCGGTCGTCGGGTCTGAGTCCGCAGTACTGGTCGCGCTGCTGGTGCTCCCGTTGCTGGAGCTCCCTCTGCTGCTGCTGTTGTTGCTGCTGCTGGCCTTGGGCCTGCATGGAGGCCATGGCGTATATCGTGGGTGGCTTGGGGGTCTGAAACATGCCGACGCTGGGCCTAGCGTGAGGCGGCAGTTGGTTCATCTGGTTGAGGTTATTTTCCGTGGGTCCAGAATGCGGCCCGTGGGGGCCCATGGGCCCCATGGGAGGAAAGCCCGTAGGCTGCGGAGGCGGGGGCCCACCGTTGAGGGGCCCCCTTGACCCGTTTGGGCCCCCCGGCGGCTGCGAGGCTCCCCGGTCGACCACTTTCGTCCTCGGGGACTTGCTGTCCAGGATCTGGCTGGCCAGGAGCAGTTCCTTGTTCAGCTGCTCGGCGGCGGCCTGCGCGGCCTCGCTCTGCTTACCGAGGAACCTCCTCTGCTGGAATTTGCTCATTATGCTGTCGATCAGACTGGTCAGGGAGGAAATGATCTCGGCCTTGAGGACGTCCGCGAGGCCCTCGAGATCAGCCCCCGTGATGTGGGCGGTCACGGCCGCGGTGCTGCTGGCGCCCGCCCGGAACACGTTAACCCTCTCCTGGAAGTCCTTGTGCTGGAGCGGAGTGCCGCTCGGCTGCATTTGGGGGGTCTGCGGGGTCGGAGGTCCGGTGCCGGCCTGGCTCTGCTGCTGGCTCTGGCTCGGTGGCTGTGGCGAGTTCTGCCGGTGCAGCTGGGGTTGGTGCTGATGTTGCGGGGGTTGGTGCTGCTGCTGCGGTGGTGGCGGCGGCGGCGGCGGCTGCTGCTGTTGCTGCTGCTGCTGCTGTTGTTGCTGTTGCTGCTGTTGCTGCTGCTGCTGCTGGTGCCTCGCGGCCGCCTCTTGGTGCTGCTTCATGCGCTCGAGAGCCGCGTGCTGCTGCTCCAGATAGAGCTTGTGGCCCATGTGGTACATGGCCGCCGCGGCCGCGTGCGGATGGTCGGGCGGAAGGGGGGCGATCCCGTTGTAGCTGGGTGGATGGGGCCTGGGGGGCCTGGGGGGTGGCTGGGGTTGGTGGGCCGGCGGGCTGACCGGCGCCTCCGCGCTCTCGCCGGCCTCCGTGTCCATCCTGCTCGAGAGCTCGGCGTACTTCTGCTGCATCGCCGCCAGCTGTTCGTGCAGCGACCTCAGCTGGCTCTTCAGGTTGTCCTTCTCCACGCGCTTCTGCCGGATGGCCGCGGGATCCTCCTCCTCCTCGAGGTCCTCCTCGTCGTCCATGCCGACGTCGTTGACGCCGTGCTGCAGCACGTGGTGGACCGTCTGCTGCTGGGGGTGGTAGAGCTTGCGCTTCTTGCAGCCGTTGACGGTGACCGGCTGGAGGGCCGGGCTGCTGCGCATCGTGTTGACGATGTTCTCAACCCGGGCGCGCTTGATCTCGGTCGTCGGCGAGCCGATCTCGGTCTTGGGCAGGATGGGGCAGGGCGAGTGGCTGGGACTGCGCTTGACCGCGAGCCCCGGCTCCTGGAGCTCCTCCTTGACGGAGACGGAGCCGGAACCCGGGCGGGCGGCCGGACTCGGAGGCAGGCTCTGCTCGCAGTCCGAGCCGTCCAGGTTGGCCCCCGGCTCCATGCCCGCCTCGGCGAAGGCCTCCTCCATGGCGCGGGCCGCCGAGGCCGCGTCCTCCGCACTGTCCTCCGCGTCAGCCGGCATCACGGCCTCGCCGCCCGGACCGCCCTGACCCCCCAGGTTCCCGTCGACACTCTCCTCCCCTCCACTCTGCACCGTCGTCCCACTGACCGCGCGCGCACTCTCACCGTTCGACTGCGGGTGTTGCGCCTGTTGCTGCTGATCCTGCTGCTGCGGACTGGGCTGCTGGTGCTGCTGGCTCTTGAGCAGGTCCACGGTGGTGTTGTTGTTGTTGTTGCTGTGGATGCTGTTGTTGTTGTTGGGCTGCTCCTGCACGGAGAGGGCGGTCAGCTTGCGGCCCTGGAGGATGTCCCGGAGCATGTGCTGGGTCAGCTCGGCGGCGGTGGCCGGGTCGTCGCAGTTGACGACGGCGCCGGACTGCAGGTTGGCGGTCGCGGGGTCCATGCCCGCGGCCGTCATCCCGTGACTGGCCTCCGGCGGCGATCCGCCGGCGTCGGTGGCCTGCTTGACCTGGCGGCCGAGGAGCTCGTTGAGCATCTTGGCGGGGCCGAAGCCCGGCGCGCCGAAGAAGCCGAAGGCCGCCGCGTGGCCGGGCGGGTGCTGGGTCGCGCCCGGAGGGCCCGCCGGGCCAGTTCCCGCCGGCGCCAGGTGACCGGCCTGCGTGCCGGCCGCGGCCCCCTGTTGCTGCAGCTGCTGCGGCCCGTTGCTGCTAAAGATCGCCCCGTAGAGCCCGCCGCCGAGGAACGATGGCCGGGAGCTGAAGTTCGGGATGCTCGAGTAGCTGTTGCGCGGCTCGCCGGCGTCCACGCGCTGTCTGGTGCGCTTCTGCTTCTTCAGGAGTTGCTGTTGCTTGCTGTCCGTCGTTGCTCCGTAGAGGGCGAAACAGTCGGTCTCCTCCTCCGATGACATCATCGGCCGTCTGGTTGGTCGGCCCCCCGAAGGCCTCCGCGTCCCCTCCCCGCCAGGGCTCCTTCTCAACCCTCCCCTTCTCGCTCGAATAGCCCCTCGTGGCTCGGCCTGTCGTTCCCGTTCCCGCGCCCCCTCCCGCTCCCTTGGCACGCCGCCCCTACCACCGTCGCCGACGCCGCCGCCGCCGCCGCCGCTGCCGCCGCCGCCGCCGCCGCACCTACCGTCGCCGGCGCTGCCGCAGCGGTCGCCGCCGCCGCTGCTGCCGGCGCTGCTGCTGCCCGCGTCGGAGCCGCCGTCCGCGTCCGCGTCCGTTCCGGCGCCCGCGTGTGCGTCCGTCTACCCTCGGGCGGTACAGCCGCGGCCGCTACCGCTACCTCCTTCCTTCCAAGGGCCGCGCCCCACTCCCGCGCCGCCACCCCTCCGCCTCCTCCTCCGCCACCTCTTCCTCGTCCTCCCCCGCTTCCTTTGCCTTCTCCTGCTCCTTCTCCGCTGACTTCTCCACCACCTTCTCCACGGTCTCTTCCTCCTCCGCCGCCGCCTCCGCCGCCTCCTCCGCCTCCGAGGCCGCCGACGCCGACGACGACGACGACGACGCCGCCGGCACCCCTCCGCTCGCCCCTGCTCCCCGACGCCGCCGCCGCCTCCTTCGCCTCCTTCGCGCCTTCTTCGCCTCCTTCGCCGCTTCCCGCGCCCGCCCCCGCCGCCGCTTGCCTCGTCTCCTTCCTCTCCTTCCTCTCCTTCTCCTTCTCCTGGTTCGCTTCCCTATTCCTCGCCCCACTCTCTCCGTCGGGGGCTGGACGCCAGCGGCTGCGGCTGGACCGAGGAGACTCTCTGTCGGGCGCTCTCCGGCCGCGAATCGGGCCCAGGCACCGTCTCGCTGCTGGTTTCGCTGCTACTCTCGCTGCTGCTCTCGCTGCTGCTCTCGCTGCTGCTCTCGCTGCTGCTGCCGCCGCGGGGGGCCCGCTGCCGGTGGGGCCGATCTTTCTTAGGGTTGCCGTTGCCGCTGCTCTCGCTACTGTCGCCGCTGCCGCTGTCGGCGCTGCTCTCGCTGAGGATGTCGCCGAGGAGGGTCGACCAGGGTGCCGAGGACGGGGGTCTCGCTGGCGGACTTCTCGTGCTCCCGCCTGGGAGCTGCATCCTTCGAGCTCGCCAAAGGGCTAGCTGCCCCTCGCTCCCTCGGCCCGAGTCGCCACGCTTCCGGTCTCTTCGTCTGCAACAGGAAGACCGATCGTCAGCCCTTGTCCTCCTCCTCCTCTTCCTTCGGTCGCAAGAAAATTCCCAGGCCGCGAATACGCGATGCATCGAACGCTTCCGGGACGTCGCGACCCACTCGGGGCCGGTTGAAAAAATAACTCAAGGCGATCGATAGTCGGCGAAAGAAAAAGAAGAAGATGATAACCTGTCCCCGTATGTGCACCCGCCCTGTGCAACTATACCCTTAGATCGGAACGTCGACTCCACCAGGAGACTATATTTACCCCCGAGAGGGTTGCCACTGCGCCGACAACCCCCGGCTATCTATATCCTGCACCACGAGTTCTCGATGCGGATGCACCGCCACCAAGGCGCGTGCATCCTACCTACGTCACCGTTTTCTTATCGAGCTTTTTTTTTTGTTATCCACCCGAGATCCCACCCTTTTTACCTTCCCACGATACCGAGGCGATTGGGAGCGACGTGTATTTTTTTTTAGATTTTTTTCGAGCGGGTGGAATGCAATCTGACTGAATAATTTGTCGAATGACCGCGTTTGCATACTGTATGTCGCGGAAGAATTCGGGTCAAGGTCCGCGGAATGCACGAGGCGGAAGGCGGATATCGTATCTTCGGTCGCGTATCGATGGATCGTCCATATTCACGCTACTTGTCCCGGCGGAGGATCCGCGCCCGTGTGCGTGCCGGGCGTTCACGCACTCACTCGGGCTCGACACGCACGCGTGTGTGCTGCCCACGGTGGGACTCGAAGCAACAGCTGAGCAGCTTAAAGCACCTGCGCTCAATAGCTGTCGCCGTATTCCGCAGCCACGCAGTCCACGCACGCGGAATCGCGCCGTAAACGCACCCAAGCCTCTTCGCCGATCACTCGTCGACGCTCGAAGGCGATCGGGCGAGGAGAATTGCGAGCGAATGCACATTTTTTAGGTGCATGCGTTAGAGAGGAAATTCTAATTTCTCAGGGATTGGAGTACGATTGAAATTCATTTTCGCTTTGCACTTGGTTTAAATTTTATATGTAAAAAAAAATTGTTAGAAAAAATGAAATTTCATAATTTACGCAAGGGACGCGAAACTCAGGATTTCTTCGCGTTTCCGTATAATGCGAGTTTGTCCCCGCGACGCGAATTTTCGCGATAAGGTCGGGGAAGCTTCGAGGGGGTTGGTTCCGAAAATGTCGCATTTGCTTCTCGTGCCCGGCGTAGATAAAAAGAAAAAAGAACATAGGGGGTCGAGGAAGGAGGAATTCGGCAGAAGGTCGGTCGGGGCGACATATGGCAGTGGCGGGCGGTAGTTTCGCGATAAGGTCTCGACTCGTCCACTTCACCTGGGAAGCTTCGAGGGGGGCCCTCCCGCGCAGTGGCCACTTTCAGGAGCACTTCCGTGCGAGGGACAAAAGGTGCCCCCGGCCTGTTCCCGGCCGGAAATGGCTTCAGGAACTTTCCGTCAGACCGCGCTTCCCCTCCTTTAGCCAATCCCCTCCCGCCTTCTGGAATCGGAAGCAGGAAGGTAATTACGGAGGCGCGAGAGACGCGTAACGAAACGGCATCGCCGCCGGCGCGCCGCGACGCCCGCGTCGACGGACATGGAATTGTCCGCCCCGACGGACGTCGGCGGATTCCTATTGTCTTCCGGCCTGTCCCCGGCAAGCCGGAACTCGGACGCATTCCCACCTCGCGGTTCCCCGGGTCGAGTCCGAATTCCCATCGAATTCCCCTAAGACCTCCATCTCGGAAACCGTCCACCAAGGATCTTCCAAATGCTCTTCAAAGCGCCCCCAAACGACGATCGCTCTCCGTTATCGAGCACCCATTGGTCAGATTTTATCGCGCCTACTTGTTGCGTACCGACGACCCCGTTGACGCTCTTGGGCCAAAAGTCATTTCCCAATGACGATTCGTCATCCCTCCACCTTTCCAGATCCTTCCCGGCCAGGGAGGTAATTAACTCCCTCAAAGACGGGGAATTTCGCGAACTTTACACCTTAAACATGGAGACCATAAGGAAGGTCCTTCTTTTCTCTTTACATTTGTTTGTACATATTAAAAAAAAAATTTTCTTAAAAAAGACCCTCCAAACCGTGAAACGATTCGGTAGATCCACTTCGGGGAAAAGTTTTGCAAACGATCGACCACTCGGATACGAGATTCATATCACCTTAAATAAGGCAAGGCGATTTCCTCCCGGGTGGTGTCGGCGTCAGGTGTCGCCGGCCGCATATGTCGAGGGTGCGTCAGGGGTCGTGCGTCGGAATGTCCGTGCCCTACCCCCCATAGGTGTCATGTGGCCGGTGCCAGCTTCGCAGGGGGTGGCGTGTGGGAACCCGTTCGCAGCCAACGAGCCACGTCCTCGGCGTATCGGGTTCGCCGAGTCCTTGGACGGATCGTCTCCGATTGGTTTCCCCTTATCAGGGTGAGCGGTGATTATCCGAGGACATCGGCCACCCTCGATGGTCCGGGATCGATTAAGACGGTTTTCCAGTCGAAAATCGGGGTACCCAAGGGGTAGCCATGCGTCGGAATTTCCCTGGGCTACCCCCCTACGGAGTCACGTGGTCGCGTCGCAGGGGGTGGCGTATGGGAACCCGATCGCAGGCATCGGCCCATGTCCATCGCGGTGGACGCGCGGTGCCGGCACTTCCCCTCGTTAGAAAATTATTGTAACATTCATTTCATTATTACCGCGGCACGCACACGCGCGCGCTCCCCTCCCCCTGCGGCGGACGCATTATCGGCCGACCCCGATGCAACAAGTTGACCGGTGTCAATTGATGCGTCATTAATTGGAGGTTAATTGCGTTAATGCGCTGCGAGCCCCCGCGACCGCCGCTTTTATTATTATTTTGCATTCGAATCGTTTACCGACCCACTGGCACGCACCCAAGCCCGCCGAGCGGCGCGCGGACAGGCGACCCGATTTTCATAATTCACACGCCGTTAAATTTATTGCCATTTTTACCCGGCTTTTCGGCTTTCCGATCCATTAATCTGCCCCCCGACCGCCTCCGCCCCCGAGCGAGCTCTCTCGCTCCCGCCGACACGCAACCCCTTCCCGGTTTATCGGACGCGATTGCGGCCTGTTTTCCATGAGTTTACCTTTTAAAAACAATCGGGTCAGTGGCACGATCGCATTATTAGCGGCACAATTTCCACGACTCTCGACCTCGCCGCCGAGGTTTCGCTTTCGCTTTCGACGGATTCCGCCACGCCGCTCGCGATTTTCGAAACCGCGAGTCGACCCGCGCCGAAAATGAACCGTATATTTGTTCGAGGACTGTCAAATTTTTTTTTTGACAGTTCCTAAAAATTCTTTCACTAACTTAGCAAATATTTTCGCCGTGGGTAGGATTATTTCTGCAGCACTTTGTCCCTTGCTAAAAATGCAAATATCATTTTTTTCCTCCGTCTATGGATTTATGCTTCTTATCTAGGATAGCGACGAGTTAAGGGTCTCGTTCTTGGATTTCCTTGATTAAATCCCTCGATTCTTTTTTTTTTCCCCCGGGCAAAAAAGTCGACGCACCCTTGGCGGAAAAGTGTCAAGGGAGGTGCAGGGTTCTTTAAGGGCGAAGGTTTCGGTTACTCGAAGGCGAGTCCTGGATTTTCGAGGGTCCTACTCTCGCAAGCTGGAAGATTCCCGCTTTGTATCGCATCTTCGGCCGTTAATCTCGCTTTCGAGGAAGCGACGGAGAGACGGAGAGCCAGCGGTGGATCCTGCGGGATAATCGGGAAAGGGGCGCCGCGAGTTTCCGGGACAATGACGGATGAGGTCCTTGGTACCTCGCGAGGTACCCGAGGTATTCGAGGTGCTTTCACCCAGGACATCCAGGTCGGAGAGGGACTTTCCCCAAGGTGGCTCGGGAGCAAATCCGAGGAGATCCTTGCCTGGGAGACCTCTCGTTGGTCCTTCGCCTGCACCTTCCCAGGTCCTGGCGCACCCTCCCGGTTCCCATGACTTCCTGTGGGAAATCCCAACGTCTGATATCGAAGGCAAAAAATCCTTCGTCGCCTTTGGCCCTCCGGAAAGGAAGTAGGCACAACGGTCCTTGCCCCCATTGGCGTAGCCTGCCTTTCCTGGTCCTTTAAATCCACCCCGTCGCCGTCACCATCCCTTCGTTCCCTGTGTTTCTCCCAAATGCTTCCACATGCTCCTCTAGATATTCCCGTCTCCCGCGAAACTAAGGGAAAGGATTGCATTCACGGATACGTTCCCTGGAATTAATAATTTCCCACCGAATAAAAAAAAAAAAGACGTATTTATAGCGTCGACGGGGATAATTAAATGGCGAAAAGCCGACCCTGGGGTAGGCATCCCCGTGACAAAGGGTAGCCTACGTTGCAGGTGTACTCGGAAAGGATTAATAGGTAAACGTAAGGGTGCGAAAAATATTCAAAGCAACTAATTTTGCATTTACCGTCGCACTTGCTCGTTTTCGGTACTCTACGTTAATTATTATAACGCAGGGATGCCGTGTTTGACACGAAGAGATGCCGATGAATCCTCATCCTGATCCAATTCGGAGCGTGGGATCGTTGTGCAGGTCTCGATACTTTCTTCGAGACGGGCCCCTCGAAGTCGATACCTCTGCAAGATCGAGGAGGGCTCCCTTCGTGGTCGGGCCATTCAGGTGGTTTCTACCGGGTGGCGTTCCCCCGATTTAAATGTCCAGGTCTCCAGCTGGGCCTGCTCGAGGTCGAGGTAACTCGGCTGCTCTCGAGGGGCCAAGGCGAAGGCAGGGTGGGGCACCTTGGGCACCTTTGGGCACCTTTGGGCCCCCTTTGGGGTCCCTCCAGACGAAGGAGGAGCCCAAGGAGAAGGCTTTCTTACGAGTCGGGAAGGCGCGCGTGCCAGCTGCCGTTTCGAGGCGTAACCGACGTTTCGGCTTCTCTTCTTGCCATTGTTGTCCCCCTGCGGTGTTTCAACGTCTTGGCGACGGAATCGCTCCTTGCGATTTCCTTCAAGACGCGTGCAGGATTCTCGGCATGTGCCGGGGAG